TCATATCACGTTGTTTATCACTACCTTTCCCGCCCAAACTCTCTTCTTCCATATGATCAATTCAGCGATTAGGTGTTTACTTCTGCATCACTCCATATTATCAATACCAATTTTGATCTGTCATCAGATCATCACTTTTTTGCGCACAAATCGATAAAATAAAAATCAGTTCTGATCAACTACCACCACTGCATTTCAGATAATTCACAGGACACTCTTCTCTTCGAGCTCACTGACCTATTATCACCCTGCCTTGTTATACTCTGATGAGATAGATTGTCATTTGTCTAGGATATAGCCGCCACGCAGCCTAAAACCTCAAGCCATTGGCACTTACAAGAGGAACGCATTCAAAAGTCTCAGTTTAATCATCTAAAAACGACTGAACTCACTGCGTTATCACTAATTTCTTAAATTGCCAAAAGCAATTAATTCAGTGCAGCGATTAATAGATTTATGGTTGTTCGATACTTTACGCACGCAATCTGATCAGATATCGCTGTTTGATGTGCTTTTTGAATCGAAAACGCAGAAAGACAATCAGATATGAGACGAGACAACAGATCACTGATAATAGACAATCGATAGAATGATGACAGAGGAATAAGCAGCAAACGTTGGGCCACGAAATGAAGACAAAATTTTGGATTTTGGTATATGTATATGTTGGGTGGGACAAAGCTAATCTGCTCTAAACCGTAGGCGACAGTCCCTTCCTGGCTCCAGGGATAGCGGGTCGTTACGTGCCGCATCTCCCCTTTGCCCTAATACACAAATATTACATGAGCAAATAAATCAATAAAGCAGCAAATAAATGCTACAAATACTCAAAATGATTGATTTTCCACTAAATTATTCTCTAAAATGATTGTAACGCACAAAAACTTTCTCTAATTTCAACTATCAATCAACAAAACAAACGCACGTCGTCGAATGATGTCCAGTCGAGGTCGTTGTGACTTATGTTTCTCGTACTCGTAATCGTTTCCATTCTCCATCTCATCGCCGCTATGCATATAGCCATTCGCTGTGTCATCTGCATAATTGTGCTGTTGTTGTTGTGGCAAAGGCGAGGACGGTTTGCGTGCTGCGTGTGGTGCTTGACGAAGTTTTAACGAGTTGATTTCGTCAAGCATTGACGGTGAGTTGCTCATCGGAGGTGGTGGTGGTGGTGGTGGGATGTTGTTTGCTTGACGTTGAGGTGCTGGCGGCGCAGATGGCTTAGGCGCCTCGCTGGATCGTTGATAGCTGATGTCGGATTGTATGCCAACATCTGAGACGAAGTACGTCTCTGAAAATGCAATCATCACAAACAATAGCAATGATCATAATCGATCGTAATCGATCATACACCTCCTTTTATTACACATTCATTTTTTTCAAAATCTAAATCCTGCTGTCGTCGTCGTTATCCTTGTTGTGGTTGCTAGAGTAATTGCTACCGTCAACTCTATCATCAATTCTATCCCAACTCATTCTTCCGTCCATTCGTCCATCCGCCGGCTCATTGATTTATCTGATCTAACCTGATCATACACTGATCTGTCAATCAGATCGCGATCAGTTACAAACTGATCCAACACGAACGACTCGTATACATGAGCAGCTTAAAAGACATCATACACTTTACCTTCTTCTATCTGCGTACTAAAAATCAATCAATCTTGTCGTACACTTACAGTTAGTTAGTTGACACAACAACCGCTCACCAATATGAACACAACAACAATGACTGTTTAGCATTGAATAAACGATTGATTGATTGATTGATTGATTGATTGGTGTCTCATAATTGATTTTCTATGTGCCTAAGTGATTGATCTGATCACACACTGATCATATCACAATCAAACAATTTAATATAAACTGTGATTAGCCGCTAGATTTAATGCATGTTGTTTCGATCAGAATCGCAATCGCATCCAGTCGCATCTGGAAATCATTTAAACGAACACAAGTTCAAAATCGTGAATGCAATCAAATCAATTAATTCATCAATCAATCCCCACCCCTTTAATTTAAACTCATCTGCATATATCCACTAATTAAGTTTACACTCCCTATAAAACTGCTCTCTACCTAAGCCTAATATAACACTACTAGTAGTCGTATCATAATGCACAGTTTCATCATTCAAACCACTCCATTTCATAAAACACATCAGTTGTGAGTGTTAGTAATTCGTTCGCTAATTGGTGAATTTTTATCGATATTAAGATTAATAATATCATAATTAATAATTAATAATAATAATAATAACATCAAAAAATAGCACTACAAATATCCATGCGTAACAATAATCGTAATAATAATAATAATAATCTAAATAATAACAGCACTGTTTCGACGCACGGTAAACACTGTTTATAAAATGTATTGGAAAAAGCGAAATTCGTAAAATGATAACCTAAAAAGAAACGCGTAACTCAACTCAATGCAATGACACTCAACATCTCAACAACTTAATTAATCAACTTTCCTTTCTCGATAGCAAATTAATAACAGCAAATTCAGAACACAGCTACTTCAAATGCACGTACACAAGCATTAGGCACACGCACACTAAGTTATATTCTTTGTCTGATTATTACTTCTCAATTGCAGCAAACACAATCTCACAATTAAGTATATATCAGCGATCGGCTATAAACACAAGCGATCACAATAATAATAATAATAATAATAAAATAATGTCACAACAATAAAAATAATCGTAACAACAACACAAAATGCATAAAGTTGATTAGCACAGCACAGTCGAAACAAATCACTTGTCAATCAGTAATCAATCAACAAAATAATCATATCAATAAAAGTAACAATAATCAAAAAAATAATAATACAATGCAATTTTATGATGAGAAAGTGCACCGTTCTTCCTCTCGCATACTCGATTATCATTCTCAGAATAACTAATTGCTTACTCTAATTTCAGTTCGTAATCTAATCCAACTTCTAAACTCAATTAACCACCCAGTCAACTTCACTAGAAGTATCGCTTGTCAAAAGCAACACAAAACAGGAGCATCAGCAGAATTACTTTGCAAACAGATCATCATCCATGCATACAATCTGAAGTTATGCGCATCTAACTTCTTCCCAAATGGCAACTTCTAATCAATATCGATTGATCACTTCAAGTGATCAAATCAAACTAAGGCAGTTTCATCGAATCATAACCATCTGCTTGCTTACCATATGAATACAGCTGATGCAATAGACGCAAGATTGATCGTGCAAGCAGCTTAATGCAAAATGCATGCAAAATGCTCTAGCATTGTGCTCCTCAACTCAAATCTTAAGACTTAGACGAATACGAATCTCAAGACATCTATTTATATGAATACTAGTGTTTGCATAGCACACTTCCGTAAACCACATCCATGCCGGCCGGCATTTCAGACATTATGCAAACACTAGTACGTACAAAACATTCATGATGTCCGTACAAGAGAATAATCAATATTCCAGGAACAGAATAATGTCAAATCTAAATATCTAAACATCCATCAATTTACCTGCCGCCTTCCAACAAAACAACTATTAATTTCTCCACTTTCAACCGTCCGATCTAGCCATTCTTTTGAGCGTAATATAAACGTCGCATCGCCGCAATTCACCGTAAGCCCAACCAACACCTCAGCTCCAATGCGTCCACTACAACAGCACTAGATCATGTCACCCGACCTCATCATCAATTACAAACCATGCAAACTACCATCAACACCACCACCACCATATTAATACACACAAGCTGGCAGTCACCTCAAACTTCCATGAGACAATCCTTAACAACATAATCAAACAAAATGAAACACACCACACGACAACGTCTAATGAAACAAAACACTGATAAAACGCTACGGTGCTCTTCAAGTAACAGCCAATAAGAAATCAGCACAAATACAGACAGATAGATAGGTGGATGGATACGGTATCGTAGTAGTAGTAGTAGTAGTATGCCTATCCAATCTCATATTACACACACTACTACGCGTGCTACAAAATAGAAAATGAAGGGCAACAGATAGAAAACAATACAATTTGGGCAGATAGTAGAATGAAAAGGAAGCTGTTTGATAGTTGTTGAGAGCAATTCACGACACCATTCATCTATCTGCTCGACTGCAAATCTGCTCAAATCCACATCTCTATCCATCCATAGCAAAGTAAGTGCTGCTAATCTAATTACGGTCAAATTCATAAATGAAGCAGTTCGATGAGAGGCTAAATTTATGTCTGCTTGAAATTCAGCGACAGATGCGAAAAATTCAACCAATACAGAAACAACAGTTGAGTTGTTGAAGACCGACCGGCATAGAGAGTGCATTTGACAGAGCCAGTGAGTAGTACATATGATACGCACTAAACAGTGAAATGAAGTGAAGTGAATTAATTAAATGATTTGATTGCAGAAAATCAAACATTAAAATAATAGTAGACATTTGAAAGCGAAGACAATTACAAGCAAAGATACTTTAGGGACGATAGATAGATTGATAGCAGCTATATAAATGCGCGACTCGAATAAATCAAATAAATGATAAACAACAACAACAACAACAACGAGCACCAGCACACAAACCAAATTCAATGAAACCAAACCAGAAACAATACACCCTCTAATCACAACATATAACTTGCACTACGTATAAATAACAGAATACATGTATGAATAAACAAACAAACAAAAAACAGAACAGCTAGTCATACAAAACAAGGCCATGTGATCCGATCTGATCCGATCCAATCCGATCCGATCCGATCCAGTAACGAGCACAGCTAATGAATTAAATGAAATGAAACGAAACGAACAAATCACTCAACTGAACAAAGCCAAAATGTGCTGCAAACTAAAAACAACAAAACAGATACATAGATAGATAGATAGATGTGTTGAAATAATTCATAAACTGTGCATTATGAACGAGTTATTACCACTTACTGCTTATTGCTCATTAAAACTTTCCCAGCCAGCCAATTAAGGCTGCCGCTGCAACAGCTATATCAAATAACTTGTGGGCGCATTAGTTGAGCTTAGTGCCAAGGCATTAGTTGAATTCGTTAACTGTAGCATTCTGATCCACCAATGTATACCAATCAATCAATCAATCGATCAATTAATTCACCAAATCACTACCAAAATAAAGCAGTAACAATGCAATGCATTCATTCACGCTCTTTTTGCTAATTTGAAATACTATTAATTACTACTGACAGATAACTGCCACCATTGTGACGACGACTGTGATTAACAATAGTGGCCACAATAGTAACAATAATAATAATAATAGCAATAAAAATAAAAATAATAACAAAATAAATAATGATAATATAACCAAAATGCACACCAGCAGCAGCAGCAAAACAACAACAACAAATCAAGCAAGCAAACGAACCAGCACACAAATCAGAACAAGCCACTGATCTCTTCTGCAGGCTTCGCCCGCAATCAATTCAGCGAATCAATCACCCCAATCACTCAGCTCACATTACGAAACCTCAACTAAGTCACCTACCTTAGTGCCTCAATCTAATAAACCTCAGTTCAAGTGTCCAATTTAAATCTTAAATTATCATTATTACTATTATCATACTTATCACTAAATACTAACTATCAACAGTATCACATTATCACTGTTATCACAAACTGATAACGAGTATGAGAAGAGGCCATAAAAACAAGAGCAATTTTCCAAATTAAGTGATCCAAATTAAGTGAACAACACCAGCAAATACATACCACAGCACATGTGATAATAATCATTTCTATGTATATATATAGGCACATCATTAACCACATAAAAACTCTCCAAATAAGCTGCATTTCACAATCAAATTCACGTGTTGCAATATAAAATAAAATAAATATATTATATAATAATAATAATAATAATAAATATTCTATGTATATATCTATAAAACAAGTATATATGTATATACGAATTTGATTTTATTTTGAAAAACTGATATGAAATTTCAAAATAAGCATATTGAAAGATGTTTTATATAAAATTATATGATAGATATGAAGAATTAATAAAATAGTAATGAAATTAATATTTGCACAACATTATTAATTAACACAAATACTAATCGTAAGTAGTAATTATGATGATAGACAGTACAAGTACATGAGTAAAAGTAAGTGAATGAGTATAAATTCGGATGAGTATAAACTTTAAAATCAAAAAGTTTAAAGAACGTTAACAATAACAATAATAATAATAATGATGATACACATTTGCTAATCTATCACACCACTGCTTCTATCCATATGAAACATTCGAGAAGGCAGCACTAGCAGTAGCTTCACGGGAGAAGGGCTTAGGCTTAGGCTTGGGCTTGGGCTTAGCTTAGCCGTCTAAACGAATTTAATCAAGTTAAATTGCCCAGCCAAATCTGGTTCAAATTCGTTTTGGTGTTCAAACTGAAATTCAAATTCAAATCTCCAAAAAGTTGAGCATTCATTTCAAAAAATTTCTTCGTTTCGGTTCATCTAGAGAAGTGGATCGAAGCAGTGGCAAAAGAAGAACAATCGCAATAATCAGAATCAGCAAGATGAGGATTGATCATTCAACAATGACGACAACAACACACATAGAAGATTTCTTTCTGAGACATACACATAGACATACACAACACACATCAAACGACTAGAAGTAACGAAATTCACCACGCTTACCTTGCCTCTGCTTAATATACTCAGGTGTGTCATCATCATTAATTAATTTCATACCTGGACGCGCTGCTGCTGAGTTGATGTTGGATTGCTTTTGCATTGCTGGTTGATAACCACCTGACGGCGGTGGTGGAGGGCCATGCTGCTGTTGCATACCGATGCCTGCTGCTGCTGCATTCCGATCCATCATATTTGCTCGATCCTGAAATTAATTTAATCCTCAAAAACAATTACAATCCCTCTCTCTCTAAGAAAACGAATCGTCTGAATTGACCGCAACTTCAAATGCTTAAATAACGATAAAGCATCAAAATACTGAATATGATTAATAACATTAATATCAATAATAACACCAACCGAAGACGGGTGAAATCCCGGATCCTGAGGTGGATTTGAGCGTGGCGATAGGTCTCGATCAATCTGTACAACTGAGAGGATTGTGTGTGGCACATAACCGACGCGGTGATGCACATTCGTACACTCCCACCAATTCTTGTTATCGTTTAATACCTTAAATATAATACACACTTATTATAATATCATTTGCATGCTTGCTTACCTTATCAACAGAACCATCAAATACTTTCACTATAATATCGCATATTATTCTCTTTTAGAGATGCTTAGAAAACTCTACTAGTAACAGAGGCTGTGTTCTGAACATCTTGACTGACTGCTGCTGCTGCTGCTATATCTTATGCGTATTATCTCTTATAATCTCAAATGTCAAACAGCCTTACCTCCAAGTATTCACCGCGCGACACAGTAAGTTCTTTAGCATTTTGTGCGACTCGATCGTAGGTGACTTGAACGAGTTTCGCTCGTCTTGCAACAATATCGTCCAAGAAGGCTTTCTGTCGTGGGCTCGGATCCGGTTGTGGGATTGGTCCGAGTGCTTGTTGTGCCGATGCACCACCACCACCACCATCCATCATACCGTTCATGCCTCGCCGACCCATCGCTGGCGATTGTTGACGTGAACTGAACACAATTATAATAACATTTTTTGCCATATACACCACACCATCCACTATACGCACTAATTCACTAATGCTCAACACCAAAATCTACAGATATCTATAAAAGACATCAACTAATAGACATATCTATCGTATTTCCACAAACACAATCAAACCATAACAAATCTTAATCAAACGTCCAGTAAACGCACACAAAACCCAACCCAACCCAACCAATTCAACGAAACCTTACAGTCTACTCGTCACTACCATAAAAATACCACCACCACCACCACCACATAAAAGTATCACACTATCCAGTGATCAAATCAAANCACAATCAAACCATAACAAATCTTAATCAAACGTCCAGTAAACGCACACAAAACCCAACCCAACCCAACCCAACCAATTCAATCCAAGCCTTACAGTCTACTCGTCACTAACATAAAAATACCACCACCACCACCACCACATAAAAGTATCACACTATCCAGTGATCAAATCAAATCACATCAAATCACTCACCGAATAAAATCAAGTCAAATCAAATAACATACTCATGTTTTGTCGCGTAACTACTCGCCATCGAACGTTGTTCGGCCTCTTGCGCTATCATTTCTTTTTCTTTTTCAATCCTTTGCCTTTCTTGACTAAAATAAAAATGTTTCTCTCTCACATCTGTCTCACCAAAATCATAACAAGCAGCAGCAGCTGCAGCAGCACTAACTTCAGTCGTTTCTCATCCTCCAGTACACGACGCTCACGTTCCGCTATTTTTTCACGTTCAAACACGAGACGTTCCTTCTCGATTGACATCCGATCGAAATCCATATTCAACTGCAATTATTACTACTATCATTACCATTACTACTATCACTATTACTGTTATTATTATTATTATTACTATTACTATTACCATATTAATGTTATTATTATAGCAATAAAAAAAATAAAACGAACATTATCCAGCGAACGATCACGGATGGGTGCCTGTTGCTGCTGATAGGGATTAGGTTGTGTTTGGGGTGGCGGGGCACTCACACCACGATGCATTGGCTGCGGTTGTCCGGGAGGCTGCATCTCACCGGGCGGAGGCATGTAACGGTTGTAACCTTGTGAGACGAACGCATCGTAGTTGTCGGGTGGTCCGTACGGTGCGTAACCGTCCATGAAGACCGGTCGATACGGCTGAGGCAGTGCACCCACCCAGTCTTCTCTGAATTTATAAATTACATACTATTACTATTACTATTACTCTTATGAGTCGAACGGAAACGCGAGCATTGTGGCCTGCAGCAACGTTACAAACGTTTGATAGCCTGGCCAATCCAGGTAATCCAGGTAAACTCTAATGAGTAATGATAAAGACATACGGTGGCACTCTCCAAGCATCTCCGAGAGACATCCACACATCGGATTCTTTACTCGTCAAGCAATTTTGCATGAGTTCGCGAGTTTCCCTCGATAACAGCGGTGAGACTACCTGTATAATGCAGCATTAAATAATCATCAAAAGTTATCATCACAACATACAATAACAAATACACAAAAACTACCTACCTGCTGTGCAATATTCCGTCCTAAACCCCAATGGCACGCGTCGAGAATAATCGTGAGCGGAGTAAACAAAAAATGGAGTAATTCAGGTGCATTCGGCTCGTGGATATGGTTTTTGAGCTTGGCCTTAAATTTTATGCTTTAGATATAATTGAATTATTGATCAATCGATAAACCGATCGATCACTCAATCAATCAATCAATCAATTTAACACCATAATAAATGGCCGACTGACTCTAACTAAATTAATGATGATGTGAACCTGAGCCAGCGGCAGGCTATGATCCGGCTTTCATCAATTATTGGTTATCACTAAACACAATCAGCCAATAACGACAGTAAATCACCATTACAAAAAGCCGTACCCATAATGCCAATGACAATAATATAACACAAAGTGATCATCATTAATTAATCTAATTAATCACTCACCAATAAATTGAATGAGAGTTTAAATTTCTGTAAAATGTCCACAAATTCAAAGTCGGCTGGCAATTGGGCGCGCATCTGGAGGATGCCGGATTGGGCGTCGAGTTGGGCGGTGTTGTTGTTGTTGTTGGCTGTCTCCTTGCCGCGTTTACGTTGCTGTTGTTGCTGCGCTTGGCGCATTCGCTGCGTTTGTGCCTCGAGCTCGCGTTGTGCGATGGCCGCCGACTGGATTCTCGCCACGAAACGTTCGATATCGTCGAAACAACGATTCAGTGTATTCTACAATACAAGTTCCCATTTTCACAGTCTAAAACATCTAGCTGATCCACCGATCTCTGATCGATCATCTGATCCCACAGCAGCCTGATCATTTGATCTGACAGCCTGATCATCGATAGCTACACATCAACAAGTTGTCTCCTGTTCCATGTCTATTTCATCTATTACTGTACTATTGCTTTCATTAGCAGTATTATTATTACTATTACTTCTACTGTTTGATAACTGAATTAATTTGATTATAAATTTGCTAAAATTAGTAAAATTCTGTGATACAATTAACATGGTAATATAAAATTGGTAGTAAAGTGATTTGCAACAATTTGACTGCAACGAATTATCAACATTTTGCTATTTTTCATACTATTATAACTAAACTATTCTATAACTATTATAACTATAACTGATATTGTTTATCATTTTCGGATGAAATAAAGTGCCAGTGCAAAGTCACTAAACAACTGTGAAGAGCATCTGAAACGTCAGAAGACTGCAAACAACAAACACCAACCACATCACGTTCGAAATACTCACTGCCATCCGAACTCGCTGCTGATGTATCATCTCGATACACTCCTCGAGTAGCACCACCTAGAGCACCTCAAATGAATATTATTAAAACTGCAATAACAACGTCAACAACTAAAATACCAACCCGGCAATGCAGGCCCCCCGTAGTATGGTGTCTGCCCGATAAGTCCCATATCCCGTCGACCCTGAGCCACTCGCTGATATTGTCCAGTCATAAATGCACGCATATCCTCCACCACTTCGTTTGCTGACACTCGATTGCACTTCAATTCACTCAACATTATCATTGAACAATAGATTTGCTATATTCGATTCATATTGCGCAAAACAGATACACATATGTATGTATGTACGTACACCTGATCATATATACCTGAGCAATTAATTACCTGAATGATTAGCATTAATATTTCTCACCTGGAATATGTGCATTTCAGTGGGAGCCAAATTTCTGCCACGTCTTTTGTCCTCTTGTACAATAAATAGCAGAATGTTGTTGTAAGAATCACGTGGATCGTTCGATATATGTGCACTCGGATCTGTGACCAATTCCATCGGAAACTGCTCCACTAAATCCTAAATTAACAAACACTTTCTAATCATCATATTCATAATCATATTCACTACAATAATAATAATAACGGTAATATACTCATACCTGATGATAATCTACTAGACAACTGATAAAACTATGCATGTGCATGCAGGACAGACCACTAGAGAGATCGTGTTCCGAGAAGACTGGAGATTTAAACGTTGGCCCAACTCATTGAATTGTACATCCATATCCATGCATTTATCTATCTATCTCACAGCCATCTGATAATACGAGATCTAATCAAGTGATAAGTAAAATAACCAACTCCATTCTCGTCTTCCACCGAAACAACATTCGGCCGTAGTCTCAGTACCATTGGCTGTGCCCAAATTGCACTGTTCTTTTCGAGTTGTTTCAGCTTACGAACACCGTCCGCTGGCGACTGCAAACCGAACTCACGACCGACCGCAAATGTCGCCAAATGCTCCACCCAATATGAAGGCGACGATTGATCATCCATTAGAATGCCTTGCTGAGTAACGCCACCTACACCCGGCGCACCCATCATCGCACCTGCACCACCAGAAGTGCCCATTGAACCACTTCCTCCACTACCCGCCGATGGCTGTCTACGACCTTAATGATGATGATGATGAATCAATACACTTCAATTTTGAAGATCATTTGTTCAAAGAAACAATAATCATTAACAATCATTTAAAAAACTATAATTAATCACATAATAATTATAACCAACCATCACAAAATGCACCCATCAAATAAAACTCAAACAATTTCTACACTTCATTTCATCATCCAATAGATTACTGTACTCTATAAATAACACTGAAAAGCTTCATACGAAGTGCGCTGGCACTTGCTCTGCCCTGCATATGCATCCTCGACTTCACCATCAATAAAACCCAATCCATTCCCGAATGCTTTCAATAGCCAACACCTGCACTTTGCTGCCTGCACTAGTCTTATGATAATAATTATCACACAGCATTTCTATTCAAACAAATATTCATTCCGTCCATCGCTCACAACCATTAACAAAACAACCACCCAATGTCCGACTAATAATAATAATAATCTACCCATCCATTTGGCTACGATTAATAAATATGCATGGCTAGTAGTTATTACTATTATACAACCCATCCACATCTACCAACTAAACCACCACAATCAACCAACCAACCA